GGCAGAGGGAGGAGCCTTGGCTTCCTCCTTGGCCACGTCTCCGCACTCAGAGAGTGGTTGTGAAGCGAGGAGGTTTACCTGACATCTGGCTACTCTGGGTGCCTCACGTGCAACTCTTTGGAGAGCGTCCGGTAGGGGTGCGTGGGGAGTGAGGGAGACCCTCTGATTACTGCGGGAGGCTGAGGTGCCTCTTTGAGGTGAAGCTGCGCGCGTCAGCTCAAGATGAATGCAGACGGGGGACAGCGAGGGAAAACGGCAGGGCTGTGGCAGCCCACTGGGAAGGGTGCCACGCGTGTGTGCTGATGTGTGCCCAGGAGGGACGGTGTGCCTCGGGCTGTGCATGGTGCACGTGTGTGGAGGGGACTGTGGGATGCAGGTATCAGGGGCTTGTCGGGGGGCATCTGAGAGATGGGCGCCCATTCAGGGCCGCGTGGGTGGAATGGTGTGTGAGGGCATGTGGTGTGGTTGCCGTGTGCTGGGTGGGTGGACACCGGGCGTGTGACGTGGCTCCGGGTAGTTCTGGGCTGAGCTCCCGCAGGGGGTGAGTGGGGCTACGGGTCATGGGGTAGGAGTCCCGGATGAGCAGCGGTTTGGGGGTGGCGGGGCAAGGATTCCAGAGACTGAGGACCTGTGTTCATGTCTCAGATCTAAACTCCAGCCTCAGTGTCCGCATCTGTGAAATGGGGACAATAAAACTGTGGGGACTGGGGGAGGCGGCGCAGGCAGTGTGCTTCCAGTGCCTGACCGGGACCAGGCCCTCCGCGGCGGTGGGCAGAGGTCTCTACAACCCCCCGGAGCCCCGTTAGTGGCTCTGCTGGGGACCTCAGACCTTCCCTGGCTGCTCAGCTGGGCGTCTGCTCCGGGGACTGGCCTTGCCTGGAAGCAGAGCCTCAGGGGCTTCTGCAGTGGGTGTGTCCTCCCGCAGGCGCCTGGGTCTGTGCGTGGTGGCTGCAGGGGAGATACAGACAGGAGCAGTGGTGGTTACAAGTTGCAAGCCCTGTGTCAGAGCCCCGTGGTGTCCCTGCCCCTGCTGTGGGGATGCGTGCAGTGATGCACTTGGACGTGGGGCAGGGTCAGTGTGTACCCTGGGCGAGTTGTGTGCCACCCACGTGGTGATGGGGCTTTTCTGGAGTTTGGGGCATCCATGGGTGCGTTAGATGAGGAGCAGGGTGTGTGTGTGTGTGTGTGTGTGTGTGTGTGTGTGTGTGTACACGTGTTGCTAGGGGTGTAGAAAATGGGTGAGTGTAAAGTGGTTTGTGCTGCTGTCCATGAGCAAAGGTGGGAACACAGGTTAGGATCAGTAAATGTCACTCATCATCGTGTATATGCTGGGGTGTGTGTGTACAGTTGTGCGTTTTGTAAGGTGTGGCTGTCTGTGCTGGGATGTGTGGTGTGTGCTTGGGGACATTGCTGGATTTTCTGTTAGCTGCAGTGTGTGCACGTGTGCTCGCTCATCAGGCACAGGAGGGTGTAAGTTCACCTGGAGGGGTGCAGTCAGGGTCAGGGGGAGGCCAAAGGGTCCTGGGGCATTCCGATTCACTTCTCCTTTAAGGGAATGGCATGGATAATTATGCTAATTATGCATGGATTATGCAGATGGGAGGTCGTTTGGGGGTCATAGGCTGTTTGTCACCCTCCTTCTCTGGCATTTTGTGACTTTTCAGGCTTTCCCTGCTGCCTCCCAGGCCAAGTTCCCCACCCCCACCTCTTCCCCCTCTCCTTTCAGTCCCCCTGGGAACTGCCGCCACCAGCAGCCCCCTGCAGTCTTCCTGGGCGGGGCCCCATTGAGCCCCGGTTCCGCAGCTGGCCCAGGGAGGGGTGGAGCTGGCGCTCAGCCACCTTGGGGCAGCTGCTGGGCACGAGGGCATTCTGCACCCCACCTCCCATCTCACGGGTCTCAGGGGTTCCCAGCATTTAGCCTCCCGGGGTGAGCTCAGGGGTGACTGGCTGTTGGCCCGCCCCCTCCATCCCATCTGGGTGCTGCTTATTTTTCAGAAAGAATGATCTCTTGGATTCAGGTTTGTAAAATGACCGAGGTGGCCCCTTCCCCAGCTTTGTCTGATGAGTGTGAGGCTAAATTAAGATGTGAGAGAATTCTCTCCCTCCACCTCCCACTCTCGCCTTGTCTTTCCCTCACAGTGAATCCTTCCCTGCCCGCGCCCCTCTGACCCCTTGGCTTTGCTGCCCCTGCCTCTTCGTCCCATGACTCTGTTCTCCTCCCCTGTCATCCTCTGTTCCTCCATGATCTCTCCCTCTCCTACTCCCCCACCTCTATAGGGAGCTGGAGCTTCTGGTCCTTAGCATGAAGGAGATGGTCGTCATGGTAACGGTTGTCATGTCAATGGCTACTGAGCTGGGATGAATAGTATCTAGGTGAGAGCTACCTGAGTGGAGGCTGATGGGTTCACAGGAGGCTCCATGCTTGTCTCTGAGCCTCAGAGTTACACAGCACATGCCCATTGCCGGGCCCCCGCCCCCCCATGCATAGGCCTCTTTGCACCCGGAGGCACCAACACACGGTACCTTTTGTGGTTGCCTTTAGGTGAGTGTGTGTCAGGGTGTGTCTATATATGTTCTCTCTGTGTCTCTGGGTGTGTCACCTCAAGGGTCTGTGTGGTTTTGGAGTGGGGGGGGGGGTCTTTGGATTTTTCCGCAGGCCTTTCTGGGAGCAGGGTGTCAGGAGCTGCTGTGTGGCACTTGTCACTGAGGAATCATGAGGACTCCCTGTTTTGGCCCTCACGTTTACCCCGGTCTGCGAGTCCCTAGGGGCCATAGACTTATTAGAATTTCTCCTCCCAGTTCAAGGCCTCCCTGTCCAGCCTGGAAGGATGGAAAAGACAGTGAGGACGGCCCTGCCCAGGAGTGGAGGCTGGGCCCTGGCCCCTGCTCAGTCCGCATCCTGCTGGTGGCCCCGGGCTGGGCTGCAGCCTCTGGCTTCAGGCGGTTGGCCTAAGAAATGAGCAGAGTCTCCGAGGGATGCTGGCTTTGCTGGCCCAGCTTTGGGTGCTGGCCACGTGGGGAACCTTCCAGCTTCCTCACCTCAGGTCCTGGGGGGCTGTTTTCCTGGGCAGCATAGGGGGAGGTGGGAGCTGGGGAAAGCTGGACCATGGCTGCTCTGGGCTCCTGGAATGTCTAAACCGGAGGAAGACCCAGCAATTAGTCACGGGAGCAATTACACTAATTGTTCCACTCCATGACTCACTGGTAGCAAGTAAATACTGATTAATTCATTACTTTGAGACTCTGTGTGTGTGTGTGTGTGTGTGTGTGTGTGTGTGTGTCTGTGTTAACGAGGATGGGGGTGGGGGAGGGGACTCTCCTGGCCCCCTGCCCTGGCCCCCTGCCCTGACTTGCCTGGGTAGGGCTTTGGAGCAGGTGGTCGAGGCTGGGGGCAGGAAGCCAGCGATGGGATCCTCTCTCTAGCGCTGTACGAGCTCCAGAAGGGGGCCTGTCAGGGGTGGGGTGTGAGAGGCTGATCCAGCCCCTCTCCTGCTCAAATGCCTTCCTTGGCTTCCACGCCCGTCAAACAGTGCATGTGCTCAGACTCATCCTCAGCTGAAGTCGTCAGCTGGACACCGAAAGCGGTGATGGGCTTCCCCAGCCTCAGCTCCTGCCCCTGTCTACCCCTGTCCCACCTTCCAACTGCATCTCCACTCCCTGACATATTTCCCGACTACCTGCTATGTGCCAGACACGGTCCTGCCTCCTTCGAGGTGTAGTCTAGTGGGAGTGAGCACAGGGCCCACGCCAGTGCACGCCTGAGCAGACACAGCTCACAGTAGTAATGGATGTGAATTCAGAGGCACAAGGTGCTCTAGCAGATCAAAGCAGGAGGGCTTCCTGAAAGAAGTGATAGGGGAGTAGGAGTGAGTTGGCACGAAGTTGGAGGATGAAGGGATGGGAAGGCAGAGTGTTCTAGGTGGAGGGAACATCATGAACCAAAGAGGCAGGAGAGACCAGGCCTGCTCCAGGAACGGAGAGGGGCCAGGGTGGCTGGAACCCAGTGACTGAAGGGGCCCTGAGGGAGGCTGGGTGAGGCTGGAGGCGGGGCGGGGCTGGCTCTGGGCCACCGGCTGCTCTTCCCCACCTCGGAGCCTTTGGGTGTTCTATTCCCTCTGCCTTTCTTTATTTCAGCTGTTAAGACTCACTGGCTAATCTTCAGATCTGAGCACCCGGAGTCAATCTTGCCTTCCTTCTGAAAGCCCTCAGGGCGCAGGGACTGTGGCTGGGCTCAGTCGGGAATCAGGGTCAGGGTGTGGCTGGAGGCAGGGCCCAGCCGGCCCCTCCCAGGGGCTCTGCACTTCAGTCTTGGATGTCCTTGGTGCTGGCACTCAGCTCAGGGGTGCAGTAAGGAGGGATGGTCTGGGCCCAGGAACCCCAGCTCCCTGTCTTCCCAGGTCCTGACAGTAGGAAGGGGTTGGCCTGGTGCGCTGGATCCTGGGAGAAGGCCCTCTCAGCGCTCCTGACCCCTGGAGACCATCGAGGCAGCCCCAGGCCCTGAGCTGACTCTGCTGTTGAGATCCTTTGTGGGGACTCAAATCCAGCATTCTGGCTCTAAACCTGGCTCTGTCACTCTGCAGTTCTGTCAGGGGAGTGACTTCGGTCCTCAGTGGTGGTGGCTGTCAGCAAGATGGGGCTTCTACCCTGGCCCCTGGGTGCGTGGGGAGTGGGAATTAGGCCCACCCTGGCTCTGCCCACTTGGAGGCCACACCTGATGCCATCCCTCCGTTATCACTCTGTCCACGAGTGTGCCTGTCCCTCCGTTATCACTCTGTCCAGGAGTGTGCCTGTCCCTCCGTTATCACTCTGTCCACGAGTGTGCCTGTCCCTCCGTTATCACTCTGTCCAGGAGTGTGCCTGTCCCTCCGTTATCACTCTGTCCACGAGTGTGCCTGTCCCTCCGTTATCACTCTGTCCATGAGTGTGCCTGTCGTCCCTGTGGGCGTGTCCAGGCTGCTGGCCTCAGGTGCTAAGCCCTGTGCCCGTCTCTGCTCCCCCAGACTCAGCGCTGGCGCAGTGAGAACTTTGAGAGGCCCGTGGACCTCGAGGGCTCCGGGGACGACGACTCCTTCCCTGATGATGAGCTGGACGACCTGTACTCGGGGTCTGGCTCGGGCTGTAAGTGCCTCCCCTTGCTTTTCCCTCCGTGTGTGTGCATGTCGTGCTGGCAACAGCAGTCTGCCTCTGGTGCCCCACGCAAGGCTTTGATTTCAGGGAACAGAAGCCCATGGGGGCTCGCTTCAGGGGTGGCATGGGGGAGGGGGAGTCAGCCAGGGGCAGCTCATGGACCTCAGGCACAAGAAGGACCAGTCATCCTTCTGGGGATGGAACGAGGGCCCTAAGGCCTCCCAGCCCAGGACTCCCCACGGCTCTATCTCTGTGTGCTCGGCTTGGGCCTCTGTGCAGACCTCCAGCCCGCATTGTGGGAACACAGACATCCCTCAGTCACCCAGTTTTCAGTTCTGTTCCAACCACTTGGAGGAACTTAGCTGAGCAAATCCTCAGTGGAGGCCATTTAATTGGCTCAACACCTTTGGTCCAATCAGCTGTGGCTGGGGCGGGGTTAGGGCACTGATGGAAACAGGTGGGGGCTGGGCAGCTGGGTCTGAGGCCCCGCTCTGGGAAAGGCCAGCGGATTGTGTGAGTTCGAATCCCAGCTTTGCTTCTTAACAGCTGTGCCACCTTTAGCTGCCTTCCCTCTCAGAGTCTCTGTATTCTTATCAGTGAACAGTGATAAGTTTGCCTTCTTTTCAGAGTCTCTGGAAGGCTTCAGTATAAATCCTCAGGGTCTGGCACAGAGAGCGAGCTCAAAATGGGGGTGTGTGCTGAGATCGGAGCCCAGTGAGAGGACAGGGCAAGGCTGATGGGATGGTCTGTGTGCCACAGACTGGCCACTCGCAGCCCCCTGCCTTTAGTCTTTTTCACTTTAGCCCACTTTTTAAAGCCTCTTGCGAGTTAGTTTTCATTAAGGTCATCTCTGATGGGTCATGTCTCTACTTCCAAATCCTTCTTATTTCTCTTCACTGCTCTGCCTGGTTCAGGCCCCCTATGAGCTGATGTAGCTTCTCTTTTTCTCCTCATTTCCTCCCAAGTCCCTTCACTTGACCTGGTTTGAGCCCTCCAGATTGCTCAGGCATTCCTTGTAGGAAGGTCTTCTACCTCTTGCCCTTTGCCTGTGCCTAAGGAAGCCCTTTGTGTACCCACTGCCTCTTCCCAGAATGCCCTTCCCCTGTCCAACCCTCTAGTGCGATTTGTGGCCAGTAGACCCTTAGTTGTCATTGCCTGGGTTCCACCTGTTAGAAGCTCCAGGCTGGGTGGGCTGGGATGGTCAGGGAAGACTTCCTGGAAGAGGCGGCTCCCTAGAGGAATTGTTGGCTAGGCGGAGAGGAGTTGGGGAACATCCACCAGCCATCAGCCAGCTGGTAACCTTTGGCCAGATTGTGCCTTCCTCTTTTCCCTCACCTTGTCCTGGGAAAACTGTGCAAAGAGTGAGGATCATCTTTATGGCCATTGCTTCCCTGGGATCCTCATGCCTGCGCCGCGCACAATCACCCAGATCCCTAGCTCTCTCCTCTCCCCCACCCCCTCAGACTTCGAGCAGGAGTCAGGCATTGAGACGGCCATGCGCTTCAGCACAGACGTGGCCCTGGCGGTGTCCACCACGCCTGCTGTGCTACCTACCATGGACATCCAGCCCGTGGGCACCCCGTTTGAAGAGCTCCCCTCTGAGCGTCCCACCCCAGAGCCGGCCACTAGCCTCCCGGTGGTGACAGAGGTCCCAGAAGAGCCCAGCCAGAGAGCCACCACCATCTCCACTCCCACGGCCACCACTGCTGCCACGACCACAGGGGCCCCGACCGTGGCCTTGGTGCCTGCCACAGTGGCCACCGCCGCTCCCAGCATCCCTGCGGCGCCCCCTTCCTCGGCCACCACCTCTGTCGTAAGGACCACCGGCATACGGAGGCTTCTTCCTCTTCCACTGACCACGGCAGCCACAACCCGGGCCACCACCCCAGCGGTGCCCTCGCCTCCCACCACGGTGGCTGTCTTGGACACAGAGGCCCCAACACCCGGGCTAGTCAGTACAGCTACCTCCAGGCCAAGTGCCCTTCCCAGGCCAGCGACCACCCAGGAGCCTGACACCCCTGAGAAGAGCACCCTGCCCCTGGGGACCACTGCCCCTGGACCGACGGAGGTGGCTCAGGTAGGCGGGCTGGGAGAGGGCAGGCATGAGAGCAGAGGAGGGCGGGTCAGGGTCTGGGCAGCATGGAGCCGGGCAGAGGCGAGGACCGGGAGGCTCTGGAGATGAGCCGGGCAGGGATGGGGAGGGCGAGCGGGGCATGCGGCTGGAGGCCAGGGCTGGCTGTGAGTCACAGGATGAGGATGGAGGTTGAGATGGATGGGGATGGAAGGGAGACCCGGCTGGGTCTTGGGGTGCTGGGAGGGAATGGGGTGACGTGTGTGTTGGCGGGGGCGGGGCCGGGGCCTGTGTGTTCTGTTGAACAGCACAGACTCGGGAGCCAGGAAGTCTGGGTGGGAATTTTTCCACTGCCACTTTTTAGCCATGTGACTTCAGGAAGTCACCAGTGCTTTCTGTACCTTCTATACCTATGTTTCTTTATCTGTGAAAAGGAGGAAATAAGAATGCAAATCATAGTGTGGAAAGAATTAAGTTTCCTGACATTTCCAAAGTGCTGAGGACCATGCCTGGCAATAGTACAGAACTCAAAAGTTTTGGTATTGTTATTATCATAACCATTGTTTTATTATTATTAGTCCGAGAGGAATACTAGCGACTGGGTGGCGGGTGCGGTGCTGTGCACTTTACCGGTGCCAACTCCTCTCTCCTCACACCTGCCCCCGGATGGCACTGTGGTCCTCCTTTTCCAGGTGGGGCGCCTTTCCCCAGCCCTCCCAGCCAGCGATGGCAGAGTCAGGGTGCGAACCTGGCAGTGGGCTCCAGGGCTCAGGTGTGGCGGGGATGGGGAGGGACTGAAGCGAAGAGGATGGAGATGTCAGCATGTTGGGGATGGGTGGGGTCCAGGAAATGGGAGAAGTAGCCTGGTCCTAGCGGGGTACGCTGGCCGGGAAGGTCCCTGGTGACACCGAGTGGGGTGGAAGCCCTGTGCAGCCAGCCCCGCAGAGGAGGGCCCGCAGGCCGCGAAGCTGCCTGCCTTCGGGTCAGTGGCAGCCCCTCTGAGGCCCCAGCCAGCCCCAGCCGGGCAGGCCCCACTCCTCCGAGCAGCCGGGCAGCCTGGTGTTTTGCAGGTGCTTGGCTGAGCAGGGAGCCGGGACAGCGATGAGACCAGGCCCAGGTCACTGACAGAGCCTCTGCACGTGGCCTCTCAGCCCTGACACCAGGCTCGCCCTCTCCATGCCCTGCCTCTGTATCCCTGCCCTGACCCTGGCTCCGGCTCCGGCCTGCCCCTCACGGCAGGAGCCATCCAGATTCATGGTCGCTGGGCTGGTTCCCTGGACGCGGCCCCCGAGGGGTATCCTACTCTGCAGTTGTGCTCCGGGACTGGCCTCCAGGATAAGGGACTCACCTCTGCCCCAGGCATGAGCCCTGGGGGCCAGGCCCAAGTGTGTGACAGCTGCACCCAGCAACGCCCTGACAGAAATGTGACAGGAGTCTTCTGGAGGGGGAGTGACGGCGATGGGATGGGGACAGTACGTGGCCCTCTGGTGAGAACAGAGGCAGCATAGTGTGTGGTTAGAAACCCAGATGCTGGAGTTGGATAGATCTGGATTTTAGCTCTGCTTCCACCACTTAACTAGCTGTGTGTCCTTGGGCAAGTCACCTAACCTCTCTGAGCCTACTTCCTGTTCTGTAAGTTGGATGTAACAATAATTCCTTTGCGGAGAATGTTGGGAAGGTAGAATGCCCATAATGCACTTAGCACAGTGCCTGGCACAAGGTGAGTGCGTGCTAAGTGTTAACCCACTGGGGCTGTGCATGTGCGTGGGGCGGGGGGCTGCCTGTGGCAGGGGGTGCTGGGGTCTGACTCCTGGGCTCATGCCCTCCTCCCTACAGACCCCAACTCCAGAGTCCTTCCTGACTACCATCCGGGATGAGCCAGAGGTACCAGTGAGTGGGGGGCCCAGCGGGGACTTTGAGCTGCCGGAGGAAGAGACCACGCAGCCAGACACAGCCAATGAGGTGGTGGCAGTGGGTGGGGCAGCGGCTAAGCCATCGCCTCCGCCCGGGACGCTGCCCAAGGGTGCTCGCCCAGGCCCTGGCCTCCTGGACAATGCCATTGAGTCGGGCAGCTCGGCGGCTCAGCTGCCACAGAAGAGCATCCTGGAGCGGAAGGAGGTGCTTGTAGGTGAGGCTTGGGCCCAGGGGAGCTCTGGGTGGGGCAGCTGGTCCGGCCTTCTTTTGCCCTGGAGGAACTCAGGGTGTGAGTTTCCTAGGAGCCTAGTTTCCCAGAACCCACCCTCTGTTCTGTCCGCTGACGTTCACCCATCCCAGAGTCTGACTTGTGCTTCATATTACCTCCAGCACCTTCCTCAGCACCCTGTGACCCCTCTTCAGGCTCTTCCCTTGACCCCTGCTTTCTTGGGCCATGCTGGTTGACCCCTTCTGGACCTCACCCCCTGGGTCCTCATTTCTGAGTCCTTTCTTTGGCTTGATCTGGCCCAACCCTTGAGCCCAGTAACTGAGGATCATGCCCTCGCTGAGTCTCCTGAAGAGCCTAGGCTCGAGGTCTGCCCGCCACCCCCGCTCCCCACCGAGGGGGAGCAGTGTGTTCTCGGGCAGGTCCTTCACCTCCCAAGGCTCCTCTTTCATCACCTGTAGAGCAGAGATGGCCATCTTGCACTAATCAATCCTCAGTGCACATCTGTTCATAAGTTAACTCGTCTGGTTGGTATGGGTCACAGTTTAGTTGGCAGAGGTTTTCTTTCCTAATGGCATATAAAAATAGTGGAGCATCTTCCGTCTAATGGTCCCTTACCTTGGATGGGGACCAGAGCATCACCCTTGAGCCGCCTGAGGCTTCCGTGGTTTAGTGTGCGTTAGGTGACTAGAGCTGACTGGGCTGCGGTGGGGGCTGTAATCGGCGGTGGCAGTTAGAGTCACTCCAACTCCAGCCTTCCAGCCCTCTCCCCACTCTTGCCCCCACCCCCAGGGCCCCGCCTCTTCTCCCCAGGCCGCCTTCTGGCCTCCAAGCCATACACCCCCCACCCCAATCCCCTCCTCTGGGCCGTGACCTCTGCCCTCTTTCTCCACAGCCGTGATTGTGGGCGGGGTGGTGGGTGCCCTCTTCGCCGCCTTCCTGGTCACCCTGCTCATCTACCGCATGAAGAAGAAGGACGAGGGCAGCTACACACTGGAGGAGCCCAAGCAGGCGAGCGTCACGTACCAGAAGCCTGACAAGCAGGAGGAGTTCTACGCCTAGCGGAGCCACAGTGCCTCCTCAGAGCCTCAGCGTCACCCTCCACCCAGTCCCTGGCCTGTCCCACCAGCCCTGGCCAGGGGACCGGGCCGGGGAGGGAGCCTGGCCCCAGTTCACCTCTGCCCACCCTCCCAAGGTCTGCCCAGACCGCCAGCCTCATACTGATCTTCCCCAAGGCACAGGTGCACCGCTATCTGCCCTGGACTGTGCTCTTCCGAGCTCATCTCTCGTCCTCCGCCAGCCTGGGGCTTCAGGACCTCATGTCAGATGGCTAGGAGGAAAGAAGCTCCCGAGAGGCTGGGGGAAGGAAGGGTGGGGCTTGAGATGGGCTTGAACTCCAACCTGGCCCCACGGGCTGGCCGAGGTCTTCTTTTAAGGGCAGAGAGGCACTCAGGCTGGTTCCTAGGATAAACATTTACAAGCTCAACCTTGAAATCGAGACACTGCCACCTCTTGCTTCTGTCCCAGGGCCCCTCTACCCCGGTGAGAGTGTGTCCTTTGCCGCCTGGCTTGCCCCAGGTTGTGGGGTCACTCTCCCTTGCCCCGCCCACTGCACATGCACCTGAAGGTTTCACCTCTGCCCCATCTGTCCCTGAGGAGTTGGCTTCCCAAGAGTATCCTGGCAGCCACGGGTGAGGGGGGCTGGCCGGGCTGCCCGGACCTCCCTCTTGCGAGTGGACTCTGCACAGACACCGTCCCCCGCAAGGTCACACGTATGGTCACGCCCAAAGACAAAAGCACGAAATGACAAAACCATGTGCAATCCTGACCACCCTGGCAGTCCAGGCTCGTCACGCACACACATTCCCCCGAAGGCGTTTCTTCTCATGCGTTTCTCATGCACCCTCAAACGTTTACAGCAATGCAAGTCACGAGTCATTGTCACCCCGTGGTGACGGCGTGGCCTGTTTCTCTCACCGCCTCTCCCCCGTCCACATACACACATGGTCCGGCAGCGTACACGTTGTCCTCTAGCTTTCGGGCTCCCTGGGGAGGGTGGAGTCAAGCCGGAACAGTCAGCCCATATTGGGTCCCCCCAGTTGCCCTGTCATGCTCAGTTCCTCACCAGAGCGCTCCCCCCACCAACCGCATTGCCACTGGCCCCCGCGTGTCAGACACAATCCTGCGTGGATGCACAGTCTTGCCCCACGCGGCCCACTCTCACGCTGGAGGAGACCAGGTGGGCCCTGGCTTTTCCCACAGAGGGAGGTGTGGGAGGACGTTGCCTCAAGGCCTTGCACGTCCCCACCTCCCCGCCTGCTTCTCTCTTCTCTGTAGCCCGAGGGGTCGGTTTGGGGGCCAGTCCCCCACTAGCCGGGAGCCTTGCTGAGGAAGGCAGGCTAGTTCCTGGAAGCTGGCCTCTGGCTGGGCAGGGGACTTGGGTCTCCCAGGACCAAAGGCCCCAGGTGGGGAGGGAGCCTGCGGACTGGCTCCTGGTCTCCCCACAGCCCCCTCCTGCTCTGAGCGAGGGGCCGACTCTGCCTCCCAGGACACAAGTCTCCAAAGTGCCTGTGAGGGTGGGCCCTGCCGCCTGGGCCCTCTGCACCCTCCCCCCTTGGCCTCGCCAGGCCCACCTCAGCCCTGCCCCAGGGTCCTCCCTGGGCCTTCCCCGTGGACACCTTGCCCACTTACTTGGCCAAACAACTTGGCGGTTCCCCTGGCTGCAGCCAGATGGACCTGCAGCTGGAAGCAGCCCATCCAGACACACTGCCCGGGGTTGAGGGCTGAGAGCAGGTCGGGGCAGGGGTGTCACGGGCCCCCCACTTGCCTCCCCCTTCTTTACCCTTGCGAGAAGGGCCACTTCTGTGGCTATTTTAAATGTGGGGTCACAAACCTTTGGGGAAGGTGCCCTCAGCAGGGGCATCTAGAGCCCCGAGACGTGGTCTGCTCAGTAGTAGGCTGGTGCTCACACCCCCACCCCTCACCTACCATCCGGATTAAAGCCAGGAACCCAGGTTTTATTTGTTTCCTTTTCAAGATGCGCTGGCAACAGACTTCCGCTGGGTGAGGGGTGAGAGTGCCTGAGTCAGCGAGGGCCAGGCTCCAGGGCCTTCCACGGCCTGCCTGTTCCGCCACCCTCCTTCCAGCCTGGGGCTCCATCTCACAGACCCCCATGCCCCTCTCAGCAGGGCCTGGAGGCTTGTGAGGAACCCAGGTGGTCCCAGCCTTGGGGGGGGGGCGGGACTGGGGGGAGGCATCCCGGGCCCACGAACTGCTGGAGGTGGCCTGACCTCAGTCACCTCTGGAGCTGAAGGGCTGGGACACGGGGGTAGAGGACACCGAAGTCCCAGCCTCCCTCTCCCCTGGTCCCCGGTGGGTTGCTGTTTTGAGGCAGCAGCTCTGGTGAGAAGGCCTAGGCAGGCCGAGGCTGAGAAACCAGAGAGCACGGAGCAGAGAAGACCTGGACCCCCCCGGGAGGCCCAGAGGTGCTGGGACCAGGTCAGACCCACGGCGGGGGGCAGGGCCCAGCACAGGATGCGTGACTCGGGTTTAGGCTGGCTGGAGTGGGCTTGGCGTGGCCTGCGTGGGTCCAGCTTGGCTTCCAACTTGAGGCTTTGCCTTCTGGCGCCGGCCTCTTCTCTGTGTCCTTAGCCTTTGAAAGAAAAGGCTAAGGCCCTCGTTCATTGAGCCCTGGACCCAAGACAAATATCCAGGCTTTATCCTTATGAAGTTCAACAGTCCGACCAGGCCACATCCTCTCAGGCCAGCCCGAGTCGGGCAAGGCAATCCAAGAGAGGTCGGTTCAGAGGACGAGCTGGAGCTCTCCTAGGTGCAATGTGGGTGCAGGGCCAGCCCCAGTAGGTCCCCAGATACCCCAGTGCTCCTGGGGAGGGTGTCCAGCGGGCCCTGGCATTTCCTGAAAGCAGGGCCGATGCCAAAGGAGAGGGAGTTCGCAGGGGTAAGAACCTCTCGAGGGCCTGGGCTGCCAGGGAGCATGAGGCTGGCTGGGGGTTGCAGGTGGGGCCCACGCCCAGTTGCAATTTCTAGAGCCAGGCTCTATCTCCCCGGGGGGTCAGAGGGGGTACCTCTTCTGAAAGGCTGGGCCTGGCAGGTCTGCGGGCAGTGGCTTGGGGAGCTCAGGCGGGGACCTCCTGGGCTTGGCAAAGGCATCGGTCCAAGCCCTGGGCACAGGGAGCAAACCCATCTCTGTCTCTCGGGCAGGAGTGGCCTGACTTTCTTCTGACAGCCACCCCCCCGCCCCCCCAGACCTGCTTCCCCAGGCCTCCTGCCTGTAAATAGAAGCTCACAAACTGTACAGATTTACAGAGATGCTTGAGACCGGGTCCTGGAGTTGCTAAGTGCTGATGGCCCAGGTACCCCCCGGCAGCTCGGCGCACCTAGCCCCAGCGTGGCGAATGCATGTACATATTTTTTGTAGGCAGTGTGGCTCCAGAGAGCCCCCTGAAGACAGTGTCCCTCCCGTGCGTCCTTTCTCCTGTACAGAGCCCTCCAAGAACCTGGCCAGGGGCGGGTGGCAGTTTGTCCTCCTCTGCCCCAGGCCTTCCCTGTCCTCTCTCCCCATAACCTGTTTATTAACCACACCTGTCCTGAGTTCATGGCCAAAACTTTAAGAATGGAGGGAAAAGACGGGAAAACGACCAAGGCACCTGCCCTGCTGTGGGTGCTCATCTGTCCCAGAAGGAACTATTTGGGCTTTTTTTGTTTGTTTTGCTTTGTTTTTTTTTTTGTTTGTTTGTTTTCTTTTTTAACACTTCCCGTGCTGTGCCCATTTATAAGAGGAAATAAAATTAAGCTGAAATGATGCACTGTAGCCAGAGTGTGAGATAAATACAGAGGTCATTGAGGGAGGGCTTCCCACGGTCCCCCTTGGACCGCAGCCACCTTCTGCTTTAAAAGAAATTGAGAATCAAATAAGGAGAATTGACCAGCAACCCCTTGTGGGAACCATTATGGTAAAAGCTGCTGCTGTGAGAGTGTTTGGGAAACCACGGAGTGGGGCTGTGGTTGGGCAGGGGCCAGGCTGTGGTGGCACTGGGGGCACTGTGGTCCACCCCCAGGGGAGGAACTATGGTTTCAGGCTACAAAGAGTGAATCTTGGGACCACAGGATATTGTAATTGGACTGGTGAGGTGGGATGGGTTTGGGATCCGACTGGCCTGGTTTCAGGCCCAGGTGACATTTCCTCGCCCTGACTGTGGAGAAGCTACTTGGCCTCTCTGAGCCTCAACTTTCTCACCTGTAAAATGGGCCAGTAATAAAGAACATCTTTGAGATGGAACATGGCAAGGATTATAAGAGAAAGAACACTTCGCACCGCGCCGGGCACAACCAGCCTCAGCTCACAGGGCCCTGGAGGATGGTGTTGGAATAGAACAGCCCTGGGACAAGAGGAGTTCTGTGCCCACAACCACAGACTGACTCCTGGGATCCCGGGGCCAGGGAGCTGGGAGCGCCTCGGAGCCAGCCCTGGGCCCTTGGCGTAAGTCCCTTCTCCAGGGTTTCAGTTGAGGCTGCCCTCGCTGTGCGCGAACACCTCTTGTGACAGGGGCTTGATGCATCTTGGGACCAGTGGGTGACTTCCTGATGGGAGGCCCTTCCATATTTTCTCTTGGGTTTCCCTCCTCCAGTCCTCATTCTTCTCTGAGGGTGCGTGGGGCTCTGAGCCCTTGTCACGGGCTAGCCCCTTGGTGTGAATGTCACCATCAAATACTCCCCTCTGCCAAGGGCGACCCCTCCGTGTCCCACAAATATTTTCTCTACAAATTTATTCTTGAAATGTGACACTCACACAGGGTCCTGATGGTTCTGGGGTAGGTTGGAGTCTGAGGCCCCTGGATTTGGTACAAGATCCTCCCCCTCCCCCTTTCCCTCCCTCCACTAACGTTTCTCTAGTGTCCCCCCCGCCATGCCAAGCCCTGTGCTTGGAACTGGATGACAAGAGGTCACCAAGAGAGACCAGCGCCTGCCCTCAGAGCACTCGCAGCCTGCTGGGGAGACGGACAACAACCGGAGTCTCCTGACTATGTAATGAGCTGGTCGGCCAGCACCTCCAAGCCCCCGACTACCAGGCAGTTCAGGGAGGGAGCACCGAGGTCTGGGCCTTGCACTGGGACTTCAGACAGCCTGTGCCCTGGGGGTCTCAGTCTGCGTGGCTGTAAACTGGGGCGAGGGGGCCGCCCTGCCACCTTGAGGTCCCCATGGAGGGCTGGGCCCTGGTTAGGAACCTACTTCAACACGCGGAGTGGGCTTGCCGCCATTCTAGTCCCGGCTCTCGACATGACCCCTCACCCAGGAAGCTCTTGGAAGAGACTCCCACCCTCTGAGCTCCTGGGAAGAGCACGATCGTGGAGTCAGGTGCACCCACGTGTGTGCACTTAGGCACAATGTCCCACCTCTCTGAGCCTCAGTTTCCTTACATGCACATGTGGACAATAAGGTGGCTGTTTGGAGGCTGTTGTGAGGATTGAAGCAGCAGAGAAGCTTGGCATGTGTAGCAGCCAACAGCCGAACTTAAATCCCCTTCTTTGTAGCGTCTGTCTTTTCTCAGACAAACCTTTATTCAAATCCCAGCTTTGCTACTGACTGGCTGTGTGACTGTGGGTGAATGACTCGAACTCTCAGTGCTCGGTTCCCTCACCTGTAAAATGGGAGCAGTAGTACCTGCCTCACATGCACAGCGTTTAGAACGGTGCCTGGCCTAGGGTAGGTGCTCTGTAAGTCTGGGCTATTATTAGTGTTACCATTATTATTGTTACTATTATTTGCAGGGCCCAGCATTTTCCCTGTTGAGTGAATGAGTGACACTGGGTCTGAGCAGACACTAAATCAGGGGTGTCTGCTCTGGTCGGAACTCTGCCTCAGGCTTGTTTGAGCTGAGGCCAGGCCTAGAAACCGTGCGTCTGGGCTGCAGGGCTGGGCTGGGCACTGCTGCCAGGGAGAGCCTTTCCCTCTGGACCCCTGAGCCCCAGGGATGAGCAGCAAAACAGAGGGGGAAGGAGGAAGAATAGCTGATTGTTTCCTGTAGAGGTCACAGCCGCCTGCCGGAGCTGTCCCGAGAATGAGAACGGAGCAGAGTGTGCCCAGCCCCCGAGGGCCACCCACCATCTCTGCTGGCCGGAGGAGGAGCTGGGGCAGGCGGGGGTCCAGGCAGACCCCCACCAGAGCTGCGCGCCTTATCCGCTCTCAGCGAGGATGGAGGCAGGGCTGCAGAAGTCGCGTGGCAAGGTGCCAACCGTGCCAGGCGCCCCATGGGGACGCTTCTCGTGTTAGTATTTCCTTTTAGCCGCACACAGATCTGGCCTGCTGGCTGTTTTTCAAAAGTGAAGAAACTGAGGTTCAAAGAGCAGAAATGTGAGGCCCTAAAGCTGTGATAAGGGGACTGTGGGGTTTGAGCCTGGGTCTTCACCTGAAGTCAAAGTTCTCTTAGTTCCATCCTGCCATTTCCTCCCTCTACTATTAGCAAGCGGTGTGAGTGTGGGCAGGTTACTAAGCCGCTCTGAACCTCAGTTATATCATCAGAAAAACAGAAGCAACAGGGTATCGAAAGGCTCAGAAGATATATGAACACAGGACGTCAGTGGGGTGCCTTCCATGGTCAGCCCCCTGTTTTACAAACAAAAACATTGGCCCTATGAGCAAAATCCACACCATGGATGCTTCTATGGGACGAACAACCCAGTTTCTCCAATTAATAAATTGTAAGGAAGAAAAAAAAGAAATGGAGAATCTATAGATAAGCTTAAAAGGCACATTAACTAATTAATGTGCTAATTATGACATAAGTGGAAACTTGAACATCGAGTGAATATTTCTTATAAAGGAGCCATTGTTAATGTTTTTCAGCTATCATAATGGCCCTGCAGTTACGGTTTTTAAAAAGGGTCCTTATCTTTATACCAACTGAAATCTTTGCAGATGAAGCGACAGCATGTCTGGGATTGGCTTGCAAACGGTCTGGGAGGAGTGGGTGGAAAAACAGGAAGTAGGATGGGACCTGAGTTCATCACTACAGAAGCTGAGTAATGGGCACATAAGGCGTCCATTATACTATTCTATCCACTCTAAGTTAAAATTTAAATTCCTCATATTAAAATGTTAAAAAAAATAAAAAAAGGAGATTGATTCCCAGTGGGGCACGGGGGCAGTGCCAGGGCTCGCCTCCAGTGGATGCCGAGCTGGGGGTTCTGACTCCAAGCCCTCACGCCGTCCCTACCGTGGGCTTCTGCAATGTCCTATTTCCCCGGCTTCACGTCATTCCCTTCCAGACGGCCAGCACCTTCATGGGCCCCCCCTACCCCCTTCGCACACACGGACTCTCCCAAATGGCTCTGATGGAAGAACGCTTATGAAATTGTGATGAGGGACGTGGCACCAGCTATTGTCCTCCCCAGGGGTGTTTGTCTTTTACCAGAGAGAGGAACAGACACACCTGGCGCCAGCGGGCAGCATGTCATGGCTCACAGAACACGTTCCAGGGACATTGCGGTCGTGCTTACTGTTCATGTCAGAACTGGGAGCTAGGCTGGTTGGGGATGACTCTTTCAACTTTGAAGGACACTGGATTTGGTCATTTCCCCCCATGTTCAAGCCTCCGGCCAAGTCCAGACCTTTATCATGCCTTGCTGGAGATACTGAAATCGACTTCCAGCCTCCAGAACTGTGAGAAAATTAACTTCTTGTTTAAGCCGGTAAACCCAGTTTTATTCAGTTATGAGAGCCCGAGAAGACAAATACACTTAATTTTTACAAAAACCATAAGAGGTAGTAGGCACTCTTATTACTCTCATGTTTACAGATGGGGAAACGGAGGCATAGAGGCTCTGAGGAGACTGAAGTTTTGACTGAGGAAAGGGTACAGTCAGCCTTGATTCCCCGCCACCCTTCTCCTGGTAAACTCCCATGGACCCTCCAAAGCCCCACTCCAGCCTCACCGCCTCTGGGAGCTCCCAGGCAGCCTTAGTCTTTGCGGCTGGTAAGGGCAGGAAGAGAAGCCAGAAGGAAGTACTTAGATCTGGACACGTGGAAGATCAGGAGAGGACGAAGCCTGATGGAGGAGCTTGGGTGAGGTAGGTGGGAGAGAGAGAGAGTCTCAGGGCGGGCAGAGGCTTGAGAGAGAGTCCCTGGGCCGGCTGCTGGGAAGCGTGTGAAGGGGAAGGTTCCTGTCCCTCCCACCGCGGGTGCCTCTGTTTTGTGGCTTGTCCTGCAAGGCTCAGTTCAGTCTCCAGTTTTCTCGAAGTTAGCTGTGTGCGCACAAGTTAAGAAATAGACTGGAGCCAAGCCGGTCTCATTGGAGCCCTGGCTCCTCTTCTTCCTGTGTAAGTCCCCCAAGCATGCCACTCAGCCTCTCACGGCTGAGTCTCTCATGGGGATAGAACGGGGGTGATCATAGTACCCATCTGAGAGAATGGTGCTGATGTTATTAAGTAAGTTAATACATGGAACATAGAAAATGCTTAGTACATATTAGCTAATAGTCATCTTGACTTAATTCCACTTCATGGTGCTCTCTTTTCTCTGAGTTCTGATGAGCTTAAATATAAAATATGCAATTCAACCCACCAGTAATAATAATGATGATGAACCTTTATCGGGCACTTACTCCTGGCCAGGTTCTAGGCCTGGTTCTTTAGATACAGTGTTCCATTTAAATGTAATAACCCCATGGGGTAGATGCTGTTAATATGCCCACCTTACAGATAAGAATACAGACCCATTGAAAACCTGTCTAAATTTACATGGCTATCACGTGGTCGAGTGAGGATTTGAACCCAGGCAACCCGACCTGGAGCCCTTGTGATTCATTCTAGTTTCTTAATCATTCACCCAATATTGATAGATGCCTACT